AACTCCCAAAAAAGGGGGAGGGTCGACTAAAATCCCCAACCAATGATGTGCCCTAATCGGTCCGAGGCGCTGTTTCGGAAAATGCGCGATTCGTTATTGGTGGAGTTGGCGCTTTTTCCGTTATCGAGGATTCGACAGCTTGATGGGTGTACTTTACATTGTCGGAATGGAGAATTCTACCCATCCGCAAAGTATGAACCGTGTATTGCTCCATCTTACCTCGAATCAATTCCCTTGCAAACCAGTTTTCAGTGCAGTCTTGGCTACACATTCTTAACTTACAGTCAGTTTAAGGACAGACTCCGCGCTCAAACAACTTGTAGGCGTCTTTCCTTGTAGGAGCAGTCTGGGCCTCAGTCTATAAGATATTCCACTTTCGCTGTTTCATAAGTGACGAAGGCACTGTGTTCATGAGTGGCATTTTTGGCGCCTCCCTAGTTGTCCCTCCCACCAAAACTCAGAGGCTATTTTTTATCACGAGTCAGTTTTGCACAACGTTTTCCGTCTTGTTTTTTCGTTGTTAGATGGTATTTCTCGCTTTGGCATGAAACGAGCAGAGCCGGAAAACTCGTCCGAAGAGGCTTCCTGGTCTCATCTTGGAGTGTTCTCCATGTTTTTTTTCTTAGTTTTTTCCTTTCTAGGGAGTTATTTAGCGACTGCAGGTTTGTAATTGAGCGCCACTACCCACAATGAAAAGTTGCGGATCGAGGATTTGCATGATTCTCTTATATTTCTTGCCTACAGGTCAAGGCGAAGCGGAAGGTATTATCCCCCGAGCTGTGAAGTTTCTTTTCCAGTCTAGAGATAAATTGGCGGATTTAGATTGGACGGTGTGTTAATCTGCTTGCGTTTATACAGTACTATCAGATGTTCTAGAAGGGATTGATTGCAATTTTAGTTCAACTTCAAGGCTTCATTTATTGAAGTGTACAACGAAGAAGTTTATGATCTTCTCGGTGAACGGAAGAAGTTGGATATTAAGATGGGATCGGGCAACACCTGTGTGGTCGGCTTGAAATATAACGACATCAATGACATATACGATGTCAGTCCATCATTTGTGTGCCCACTCAGGCTAAAGGCAAACGGCACGATTGCTGGAGGCGGGCGGTTGTTGCCAGCGTCATTGCTGGAGGGTGTGCGAGGCGTTTGACCACACCCCACTCGGCTCCTCCACTAGTGACGCTGGCGTCAACCTCCCGCCTCCGTGGCACTGCCTTGGAGCGAACATGTGGAAAATCCGCTAATTCCTCCAGATAGAGAACATTCTCGCCGTTACGGACAGAACAAGGTCGACTGCAGCTACGAAATGCAACGGAGCAATCGAGCAGAGGCCACGCCGTGATCGAACTTGCAATCCAAGGGCATAACAAAACTTCAGGTAATGGCTGTTTCGGACTACCTTAGTGTTACTGCATCAGTGCCAAGCCGTTTGTTCTGATCAGGAGCTTCTCGAACCGCCTGTCTGCATCTGGTCGATCTTGCTGGCTCTGAAAGAGTCAAGGAATCCGGTGCTGAAGGCGAGCGCTTCAAGGAAATGGACACATATCAACGCAGCACTGTCTAATTTGCAGAACTGTATCCGGTGTCAGCTGAGCAAGGTAGCGTTGAGTGGTCCATAATAATCCTTAATAGAGGCAATGATGTGAAAACTTTGATTGGAATAGTCGCTATATAGTAGTCGCTGAGAGCGAGTACTAAGATGTTGACAAGCGATGCTGAGCCTCATATATTGTGCACGACGCGCTACATTGGCAATAGCGCTCCAATGCCAAAGATGTGAACATGCTGCAGACGAGAATTCTTCCGTTGCGGCCGCCTTCCTGTTGTGATAGTATGGGGAACAGAAGGGAATGCATTACCCGATCACGTAGCCTGGTACCGATCAGCACTGTCCGCACAGGTTCGGAAAAGTACAGGGAATGGATGAGTACCAGACTGCAGGGTGCAGCATCGTTTTGTGAAACATGTAGGGGGTAGCGTACTTTTCCGCTGGAAAGGGAAATCGTATGGTCGTTGGGACGCAGGGGGGGGGGTCGCAGGTGCATTTAAGAGCAATTTGCTGCGTTGAGAAAAAAATTCTACCGGTTTCTGACATTTCGCATGATTTTTCTTGTTTCATGTGTACTATATCCTCCCTCCTTCGCCCACCCCCTCCCCATTCGATTCGACGGAAAATTTCTGGGTGAAACATGAACATGTCGCGAATTGGTAATGGCTTGGAAAGAACGGGGTCATACTGACACCACCATTTCACACATCACGATGCTGTACCCTGCCAGACTGTCTGAAGGCAGCACCTGCTCTTTTGTTATCCTGTATTCTATCAAAATCTAAACGGTCGGCGTCGATCGATTCCTGCCTAAATCTGCGTTCGTGTGTGCAGTATTGGAACGCTGCTGCAACTGAACGTGTCGCAGCATGTCGACGCGAAATCTGGACGCTATCTTATAGGGCTATGTTTCAGAATCAGCACATACCATATCGCAATTCAAAACTGACTATGATTCTTCGCGACAGCCTTGGAGCTGGTAACTCGAAGACGATGGTCATCGTAGCTCTGAATCCCGCTGTAACTCAGATTGCCGAAACCAAACGAAGTTTGGAGTTTGCTCAACAGGTGAATGGGACATTATACCATTCACAAAATAGTTTCTGTTACACTTATTCAGCAAATTTAGGTCGTAATACAGTAATTCCGCTGGCAAGTGGCGCTAGGTTACGAATGTGGGCGGGGACGCGCAAACTGCGCCGCGCAGCTGCCACATTTGGGTTACGTAGCATCTTGACATTTTGTGCACGGTCCTGTTGCGAAGCTATGTGGTATCGACAGATAGTGTAGCGGCTGCCAGAGCATCGAAATATGCAAGAAACAGGATATGGTTCTTTTTCACAGGGATGGGGTTACGGGGTGCGTGAGCCACTACCTATCATGCGAAAAGCTGGATTGTCTGAGGTCATAATGACCACAGAATGCCATACAAATGAGAGAAGGCAGAGAAAAAGAGGAGATCAGCGCGTTCAAAGGGATCACATTCAAGTTTTCCGTAGACCGCGACCTGCCACGTCGAATGGGTTGAGTCCTGATGCGAATGCTGCGTACATCACCCCACTATTTTCACCACACCGCTTCGCCGCGTCTGGTAAATAACATACCATACCCATGCTGCCCACTCCGTATGCTACGTATGCATTACATAAATTTGCAAAGCTGGAAGGTTCAATTTTTCTGGATTCCGGTTTTCTTTTTGAGGAGGGACCCACTTTGATGCGAAATGTGTTTGTTTTCAACTCATCTCCTTTTTTCAGATGAGCATGACTAAGATTGGTTCCGCGAAGAAGCAAGAACAGTGAAGCTCTTAACTGGTTACATTCGTGATTCTGATAAATGTTTTCCTGTGTATAGTTCACAATGTGATCTCAAGTTTTATAAAGTGACTTTTTCTTTGTATAAGTTTTATATTCTCATTCGATTTTGTCTTTGGATGTACTGAGACTATTTCTATATGTGGTTTGAAAGTAAAAGATTGTGTTTTCGAGTTGTTGAGCCGAACTGAGGAACAGACAGGAGACGAAAGACGTGGTTCTGCATCCGCCGCACGCGAATTGCACGGCATATTCTCATTAGTTCATCGGCTGGGGCAGCGAAACACTTTGAGGT